CGGTACTAGTAAGAAACTAATACGTACTACTACTAACTTAGTTTGTTCTTCCTTACTCTTCTCTCTCTCTATATATATATATATATATATATATATATATATATATATAGTTCATCATTTAGGGATGATGTTTTAACATCTATTTGGTGAATCTTTAGAAGGTATAGCAAAGCCAGTGCAGTAGTACGCATCTGGTAGTTATCCTAACCTCTGGTGCATAGATATCAAAGAAATCTGCACGTTCTATCTGTTTGAACCATTAATAACCAATCCTTGCTTTGATAATCTCAATGCTACCATCCTCTTACTTTCATTTGGAAACCCATTTGCAGCCTAAAGCCTTTGAAAGAGGAGGTAATCTCACAGCTCCGAAGTTATATTGACCATTATGGAGTCCATCTCATATTATGCTGCTTCCCTTCAAAATGGAGGATATCACAATGACAGATCTTCTTAGAGGCTTCTAGCTTCTTCTTCAAGAAGATATGCATAAATGTCAAGTCCGAAGTCTGTTTCCTAGCTCTTTTACTTCTCCTAAGTTTTAAGTATTCATGACCATCATGCTTCTCATGCCTATGTTTTATACGCTTATCTCAATATTCCTAATCCTGCTCACCCATGAAAATATCTTCAAAAAGTTCTGCATCTCTAGACGTCAAAATTACATTTGTGTCTAGGTTAAGAAATCTGTAGACTTTGTTGTTCTCAACACACCCTGCGAAAGTACCTCAGTATTAGGGCTTAGTCCACTTAAGGTCAAGGAGTCTTACATGGGCCAGGCAACTCCAAACCTTGAGGAAACCTATATTACGTTATATGTCTTTCCAAAGTTCATATGGTGTAGCAGAGGACTTAGAACATGGAGTTGCTATTCATATGGTGTAGCAGAGGACTTAGCATGCAGACACTGAGGCTTTTCCACACAAATTAGGAGGGAGTTTGGAATTGATGATGATAACCATGACATTAAACATATCAATGAGTATGTGTTTTTCTCTTTTGACCGAATCATTTTATTGTGGTGTGTGTATGTAGTTCCTTTGTGAAAATTTACATTTTCTTGACAGAACTTAGTGGATGTTTGGGAATGATGTCCGCATTCTTTGTCACTTCTTCAGATTGGCATTTAAAACCCAAACACGGGTGTTGGATTGGCCCTCCACTGTGTCAATCTGAATCGGTGATTACAGTGGCGTTTGACCAAAAAATAATAAAATATTCAAAATGGAAAATATTAAAAATTGAATTGGGTAGGAGTGGCCTGGTTCTTTGACCTTTGATCATTGATTCTACTGATATAATCACCCCCAGGTGTTTGACATAACCGGGCTATTCCCATGAATCTGACTGTTTCATAAAGGAAGAGTTGGTCCCCCACCAAATCCGATCTGAATTGCTAATTCCATATCCTGGTTGGTGATTCTTGAACACTGTTTCAAATTAATCACTTAGAAGCAATATATGCAACCAGTGTATGGGAAGTATCCACCACCAGTCAGACTAAATTCATCAAAATTACAGTATACTACTATTATGCCTTCAGTTGGCAAAATACCCTCACACACTAAAAATTTACGTTGTGACCTCATCAGTTGTTTAGAGTTTGTGTGTGTGTTAATTAGTCCATGATTTGTACTTCGGTTATTTGGCTAGTTCTATCATTTGAACAGTGGCACCCAGTGTTAGAAAAACAGACCAGTTAGATCATAACCGCTAGGGCTTCAAGTCCGCTTAGGGCCGGTTTCGTGTGTCTAGTAGCCTAGGTGATAACATCAAAAAAATTTCAGCCCAAAACCGGCCACTTAGGGGTCGAACCGGCCTTCAAACCTACCAGTTTTTAGCTAACCGGACCAGTTCGCCGATATAACGGTGTTTTTAAGTAAATAACGGTAATGTATACATACCAGTGTTATTTTAAAATAAGGGCCGTTATATGTAGGGGGAAAACTGTGAACCCAAATTTTCACTTATTTTTTATTCGTTTTGCGGCCATTTTTTTGTTTTTTTCGTGTTTTAATGTATAATTAATATCAAACAAGTAATTCAAACAATTAATTTGGATTTAAACAACAAAAAAAAAAGATTTTATTGGATTGAAATGGCGGATTTTTTAGGTTTTTGAAAATTTCGGCCATTCTTTCAATAATCTCCTCAATACCTAATGGATATTAAAGAAATTTGAGGGGTTTGATTTCTATTTGAAGTATTTACTAGATTCAAGTTTTAATTTGCTCATAAAACCAATGATCAAGGGTTGAGTTTTACCAAAAATGCTGCTGTTCAGAGAACCTGTATTGGATCCAAAAACACAGATTTTTTATCCATTTATTGGTCTTTTTTTATCAAATTGAGTTATGGACTTCGATCATTGAGGTTTCATATCTCAAATAAAATTGGTATGTTTATTTATGATTGATTAAATTGTTTTGTATGAATTGTTTTTGCACGAGGTCATGAAAATTGCATAGATCTGAAATGTCCGCCATTTTTATCAATCAAATCCAAAATACCGAATAATTTTTTATGAGATTTGGAGCATTTGAAAGAAGATCGAAGCCTTTACAATGCATATGCGTTGATTTTTTCGATTATCAGAACATTGACGGTCGTTTCTTGCTCCAAATGTTGCTCGATTTTATGGGTTTATGAGATGATGATTTTTCTAAAAAAAAAAATCATTTTGCTCAATAAAATATATATTTTTTAGCAAGCTTTCTATATTTCTTAATAAAAATATCTTTTTAATAAAAGGGAAAAGTTTTAATAAGGTTGCAACCTTAAAATGTAGAATCATAGATGCAACTCAAAAATCTATCGGAAATGTTTTTCTTAATGTTGAAAAATCTAATCGATCATCTCAACATCAAGATGTATGAATATGAAAAAAAAAAATGTTTTTGAGTCCCGGAAATAGTGCATCTTGCAACACATTATTTAGAGCGTCTATTTTCAAGATTTTCATATATTTATAAATCTACTTGATTTTAACCATTTTTGGATTTTAAATTTTCTAATTAGGCATGAAAATAGATTTTAAGATAACACTAAGAATTTTTTACTACAAAATTACATGTTATGATAAAATTTTAAGGTGCGCCTTAATTGGATTGTTTAAGGTTACAACCTCATAGAAACCGCACCCTTGATAAAATTATGTTTTTTAATAAAAAATATGTTTTTTTAATGAATATAGGAAGTGTTTTTTTTATTTTGCTTAGCAAAATTATTTTTTGATAAAATTATGGTTTTTTAATAAAACTATGTTTTATGATGAATTTGGGAAGTGTTTTTCCATTTTGCTCTTAATACAATTATTTTTTCCATTAAATTTTGGTTTTTTAATAAAATTATGTTTTATGACAAATATGGGAAGTGGTTTTCTATTTTTTTTTAATAATTTTTTTTTTTGATAAAATTATTTGTTCTACTGTTCTTATTTTTTGATAAAATCAATGCACAACACACTGATATATATATAGGGTAGATACATATAAGAACAATAGAACATATCATTGTGTTGTGCATTGATTTTCGTTTTGTTGCATCTCATGAGATGTACTTTTTATGAAGTACGCCTTATTTAACTTCATCGAAAAAGCATTGTATGAATTGTGCTTTATCTAACTATATGGAAAAAGTCCTTTTTGTTTCATGTCTTAATTAGTTGGTGTTTTTATTTGATTTTATAGCATCAAGCTACTTTTGATATTTGCAAAAAGTGGATAAATTTTCATTCCTAATGTGAGCGATTTTTGTACAAAAGACACTAGAAAGTTTTTCATGTAAGGTATGGGATGAATATGTTAATTCTTGGAAGAAGATGTTACACGACAAAACAATCTTCAAAGAATATTCTAATCTAGGAAACAAAAAGATTTATGTGACCTGCTTGGGATCATGTACAAGACCATAATATTCAAGTATTAATTTATAAAAGGTTGTTTGAATTTTTTTTTGGTAAGATAAATATATGCAATCAGATATTATACACTTAATCTAAGTTTTTCTATTTTATTTTTTTGGGAGGGGGTTTTTGACCCATTTAAAAAAAAAAAAATCTACTTGACCGGTTAACTACCCCCGTTAGTCCGGTTCCGATTCAAACCGCTCCCAGCTGCATGTCCGGTTAACCGTTCCAGTTCGATTTTGTGTGTGTGTTAATTAGTCTATGATTTGTGCTTCAGTTATATGGCTAGTTCTATCATTTGAATAGGACATCCTTGGTTCCTTAGATTTCTGGTAACACTGATTTGTTCAACTGTTTGTAAGTTGTTTCTTCTACTTAATCTTTAGGAGGCCCCACACAAAGAGTTCATACTTTGTGTTATAACGCACCCATCTTCAATCCAACATAATTTATCAGCTTCATGAAATCCATTCTTCTAGGCTTTTTTTATTTCTAAGTATTCCTTTTGGTAATTGTTACTTGGTTCTCATATTATCAGACCTTATCATCAGTAATTGCTCCCACTTTATCTCCTAAACTCCATTCCTCACTAGTTGAGATTGGCTTACAGCTGTTAATGTGGGGATCCCTGAGTTCATTTATGTAACACTTTTAATGGTTTTATTCAAATAGGAGCAACATTTTTTATGATGAACAACTTATGCAGGATTTTGCTTGCACAGAGACAGTCGACTGGGATATGTTGTGCCATCCTACTACTTTTTCAATGTTAGTAGTGGTAACTTTGGGATTGACTCGAATTTGGACTTCAAATTCTGGTCATCGCCATTTTAATTGTTTTATAGACATGTTTCCTAACATGCCATTTCTGTTCAGCGATTTGCTCAAATTTGTTACATCGAGGAAAAAGGATGTACATCTATTTTGATAAGCAAATACAGCTAGTTGCTTTGAAGATGTAGATTAGGATATTTGGGAACAACACAATATCGCGTATAGATCTGGTTCTGGATATGTGTTTACTTCATTGGTAAATTTCCTTGACATGCATATGGGTGTACCATCCCTTTTTTTTCTTTTTTAGCAGAACATAAAGATAGGCATATTCAAAGAGATTATTAATTTATCTGAATATTTTGCAATCTTTGGGGATGGGACTGTTTAAATTGTTTTTATTAGTTAAATAGAATGCCACTGTTTTCTCACAAATACATCTTACCAAAACTATGACTTGAAAAATGACCATAATGTTGTGGTCTTTAAAGGTTTTCTTTTTCATAGCTACTTCTGGTTGATCTAATCTTCATTGCACCTCTTCAAAAGGGTTGTAGGTGCTCTGATCCTTCCAGTGAGCATTTTATTTCTAGAAACCTTACTTTTATCAATATTATGTCTTTATTTTACTAAGGTTGAGAATACCTTACCTGCAAATCAATAAGATGCAACAAGGAACTGATGCTTAGATAATTAACTATGTGCCAGATGAGGAAGAGCACTTAGAATTGTGATTATCCCTTTGCTACTTCTCTTGTGACAAGTTTCAATGAATTGTGGAAATAGGGCTATGGGATGACTGAGACAACCGCAGTTGGGTTTCGGGGTACCACTAATGCAAAAGTGAAAAAGTATTCCTCTGTTGGATTGCTAGCCCCTAATATGGAAGCCAAAGTAGTCGATAGTGCACAAGGCTCATGCTTACCTCCTGGAGAAACCGGTGAGCTGTGGCTTCGTGGACCTGGCATAATGAAAGGTAAATGCCTTCATCATCTATCAACAAAACACAGTTTCCATGCTTGGGGGAAGAGAGTGTTTCCACACTTGTATATAGAGGTAGGAAGGGCTTGTTTCTGCCAGTTAATTTTGTTATCTGATTTCTTGTGGTAGCCATGCAGAGTACTTCAATAGCCATACAGCGACATTGTCGACCATTGACAAGGAGGGTTGGTTACATACAGGGGATATTGTTTATTTCGATAAGGATGGCTATTTATATATAGTTGATCGCTTGAAAGATATTATCAAATGCAACGGTTTTCAGGTATAGTCTTCCAAAAATTCTCTCCCCCACTCGCTCTCTCTCTCTCGCACACACAACAATCATGACTCCTCTCTCTCTTTTACACACACACATACAACAATCATGACTCCTCTCTCTCTCTCTCTCTCGCACACTCTCTTTCACCCAACATTCATTACATTCTCATTGCCAATTTGCTATTTCCTTCTAATTCTAAAGGTAGTACGGATTCTCTCACTCTCTAGGTAGTAGAGATTCTCTCTCTCTGGGTAGTTCGGTGGTAAAAACTGAATTTGGGATGTAGTGTTGCAATTCCTCAACAACTAACCAATCGGGCCCAATGTCTTATTCCATGGTGGTTTCATTGATTTCTGCAATGGTTTTAAACTTGTGATTGCAGGTTGCGCCAGCTGATTTGGATGCCATACTAATCTTACATCCACAGATTCTTGATGCCGCAGTAGCAGGGTTAGCACATTATCAATGACATGCATTTAGCTCTTTAAAACATTTATTCATCTCTTTCTTTTTTGGGGTAGTTCTGCTGGGAAGTGGTCACCTACTTATGATAGGAATAAAACTTAAGATGTATATTGTGGTGCTCTGCTACCCTGACCACCTAAAAACATAAGTTAAATTATAAATAAATAGAATATTTATTTACCAATTTGATTGTATTAACCTTTAGATGTGTAGGCATACATTGATTCATATATATTCACATAAATAGATACATGATTTATGTATGCATGTTTGTATTGTTTTAGTATGCATACATATATGTATGTATTATGTAATATTCTTAGTTTCAATTTTATTTTTACGTTTTCCAACATACATAGATACATAATATATACATTGATTCATATATTTTCACAAAAGTAGATACATGATGCATGTTTGTACTGTTTTAATACGCATACATATATTATGTATTATGTAATATTCTTAGTTTCAATTTTATGGTTACGTCTTCCAAACGTACTTAGATACATAATATATGCATGTATGTATTTACATTCCTAGAGTTGTTATTTCTTAATTTTAATTTATTTATTTCTGTTCTTTTAGAATTCCTAATGAACAAACCGGAGAAATACCCGTGGCATTTGTCAAGAGGTCGATAGGCAGCAACTTATCGGAGGCAGATGTAATCGACTTTGTGGCAGCACAGGTGAACTTGTGTCATTATTTATTACAATATAATGAAATTTTAGGATTTGCTTGCATGTTTTATCTACTAGAATATATTCAAACTTGTGGCATTTGTATTTTTCCCTATTATATTAAATGGGAAAATATAGCATGATCAGGACCCATATAGTCCACTGGGGTCATAGTTGTCCAATACAGTGATGGACGATGATGGAGAGATAATGGGACCCGTCAACGGGTTTCTCTCCATTACCATCTGTTGTAATTGGACCTGATGACGCCAATGATATGTGAGCATACATAGTCCATTGAATCACTATTTACTTTCCCGTGTGGAAGACTCCTAAGAATTTCATTTTTCATAAAGAAATTGATTATGCATGGGACTGAAAGATGATTCCAAAGATTCAGAAATGCAGTAAAATGGACGGTATTTCTCTTTATGAATCTACATTCTACATATACTTGGGAAGTTTTGAGATCTATAAAGAAAAGAGTTTTGAGGAAGGAGTTCGGTCATTCTAGACCAAGATTTAGAGTAATTAAAATCAAAATATCATGTCATGGAATTCAGGGTTGCTCACATAATTGAGCAGATGGTTGTAAAGAGCAAAAATTTCTCTCTCTGCTGTGCATTTATGGACATTTTATGATACTTATTACTTACTGTATGACATACTCTTTATAATGCTCAACACTTGATGAAGCATTGCACATTTAACTTATGCCTTGCCCCTCTCTCTCTCTCTCTCT